TGTACTCTAGTCACTCCTTTCCCTATACTATATGTAGATAAGAGAGAATTAGCTCACCAGGTTCTTCGAATTGGCAACATCTGCGAATAGGAGGTTTCTCTGGTTCAGCAATCCGCATCTCCTCATATACAAGCGCTGCCACAAAGAAGGTGAGCTGAAGAGGAACTGCTTTTAGAACAATCCATTAAGAAAAATAGCTATAAATGTAAGCTATAAGTTCATTCTGACATCTAACAGTTCTTGTTTGGTATCACAAACGAAATCTATGCGGCCAATTGCAAAACGTGATAGAGTCAATTTGAAAATGGTTCGATCCCACCTGATAGACAAAGTCGACCGCGAGTCCAACGCTTGTGTATAGGCAAAAAATGGAAATTGCAGGTGTAGGAGTCAAAATACCGATTGCAAACGAGAGTATATTAGTGAGTGATGTCACTGTTATGGATGGTCCAGCTTCTTCCATTGTTTCGGCTGAAAAAGTCGAGTTTTGCCTCAGAATCATGTGGCATGTGGACAGTAAGGCTGCGTTCATACTTTGCTGCAGCGTCACTAGGGTGTACCACCACCACTAGCGTTTATAACGTCCGCCAGCGTCAGCGAATGGGAATGTGTAGATATCAATCTAGCGTCTACCAGCGTTCGTCAGCGTCTCGAGGGCTTGGGAAATATAGATGTCGATGTGGCGTCTGCCAGCGTCTACCAGCGTGCATTGGCGTCTGACAGCGTGCACCAGCGTCTAAAAACGTGCGGGAGAGGAGAGTATGCTACCCCTATCTCTCAATACTCTACCATCTGTCTGCTACCCTCCTGCCGCCATACTCTCCTCTCCCGACGCTGCTGGTATACGGTGGCAGACGCTAATGATCCGATATCTATGTTCCCATTCGCTGACTGCCGAACTCTCGAAACGTAGTGGACGCTGGTAGACGCTTGTGGACGCTGCCGCAAAGTGTGAACGCAGCCTAGCTGACAAGAAACCGTTCCCCTCAGCAGTATCCAAGAGCGATGATAACGGTGAAGACGTGCTACTTAAGAGTGATACTTCAGTAACTGCTCACCGATTTGATCTTCGAGTGGCATTTTCTTATTCGTTTTGCGCATAGCATGAATAATTATGAAAACGTCATCCGACCCAACACCGATAATTAGGAATGGCATCACGAGAGTGATCGAGTTGAATGGGAATCCAAGAAGAAACAACGAACAAAATCTGAACAGATGTTATTAATATTAATCTGAGCGGGGATGGTGCAGTGGCAAGTGGCCCGCTCACCACGCGCGCGGTCTGGGTATCAAGTTATAGATCGGCTCCTGCCCAGGCCACCGGAGCCCTCTGCTTTCCAGAAAGTAAATTCGTAAATTAGTAAATTCGTATCAGATTCGTTTGAGAGGATAAGTACACTGAGCTGGACATCGGCTGGCCCTTGCAGGTCGGCCAAGTCCTCGCATAGGCCATATCGCGCTCAGGAGGCCGCTAAGCCACTACGATTATGAGTAGGAGTAAAATACCTTTCACCCCTGGCTGTTTTCTACCTGAATCGGCCACAATTCGATCACGACTGGTAGAGTAAGGGAGCTGCAGACGGTCTCATCCTGCCGCTTCTGACACCGCCTCGACTAACTTCGATGACGCCAACTTTTTATGTGGAACGTGTGATGAATTCTCCGCTGCGCCTGCACCTCAGCATAATTCGAAGTACTGCTCAAAAGAAAACTTACGTCGTTCCTACAGCCAACAATGGACCCGCAATTCCAAGAAAAGCCATAAAAATTGAGTGACAGAATGGGAAATGTTCGCGATGATTCGTGATCATTATGAAACAATACACCAGTATCACCGAGAGCACGAAGTATGGAATGCAATATATTCCATTTTTACGCACCTGAAATGTCTTCACTCACACTAACGGATATTAACCAAAGCTGCAGCTTCCACAAACCACATACTATCTCTGATAGGCAGACTTCTTAGGCAAGAGAAGTAAATAAATCGAAAAGATACTTACCTCTCTTGCGATCAAGGCGTCGCTGTTGCAAGTGATGTTGAGCACAGGATGTTGGAAATGTTCTACATAATCGAACATGCGATTTTCCCATCTGTAATGAAAATGTCAAGAAGCACCTGAGGAGCTTAAATGCAGTGCCCACGTTCATATGATGTTCCCGCACCCTCTCTGGATATCATAGCCCTCCCTATGAGGATGCAGTATGTACTAGTTTTGCATCTCAAAAGGCGAGAGGATAGCGCCGTTCGCTAGTGAAGAGTCGGCCGCCCCGCCCACCTGGCCAGCATAGGGTTCTATATAGGGCATTTTCCATGATTTTTTTTCTGTTTTTTTTTCACTAGTGGATCACGTATTATATGAGTTTCATAATTTCATTATTCTTGAAGCGCGGCTTCAACTTCACAAGGCCTAAGCCCTAAAGCCAGTTCTATGGCAGCCAAGGTGGTGCGGCGGGCATCGCTTTCCACGAGGGGACGGCGCCTTGCTTTCGTAATATTTGAAGCGTTGCGAATATATGTACGATCCTCCATCCTTGTCGAGAAAAACCGCGATAGTTAACGAGGGCGTGGGACATCAAATGGAAGCGGGTCGCCCTGCTTTACCTGGCGTATCCTACTATATATAATCCGCTAAGTTTGTCTGTTGGTGTGTGTGTGTGTGTGTGTGTGTGTGTGTGTGTGTGTGTGTGTGTGTGTGTGTGTGTGTGTGTGTGTGTGTGTGTGTGTGTGTGTGTGTGTGTGTGTGTGTGTGTGTTTTGACCGGAAAATTCATAACTTCCTTCAAAACAGCGATAATGCGCTCAAACTGATAGATGTTGTAGGAGGTCGGGCAGGAACATTATTGGTGGGTGGCAGGAAGCGATAGCAGTTGATAAGATACCATAAGGGGCCGTATAAAGGCGAAGTCAGCAAATTCATAACGCGCGTCACAGCAAGACTAAGCAGTTTGCTCCAAGAAGTTAGAATAGGGGCAGGCACGGGAACATTATTGTGGGTGCAGGAACGTGATAGGAAGCTGATAAAGATACCACGAAGGGACCTTAAAAAGAGTGAGTTACCTAATTCATAACACCGGCCACAGCAGCGATGGGACGTTGATTTCAAGAAGTTAGATAGGGGGCAGGATGGGAACGTTATTGATGGGTGACAGGAAGTGATAACAGCTGATAAGATACCATGAGGAGCCTTGAAAAGAGTGAGTTACCTAATTCATAACACCGGCCACAGCAGCGACGGGATGTGGGTTCCAAGAAGTTAGATAGGGGGCAGGATGGGAACATTATTGGTGGGTGGCAGGACGTGATAACAGCTGATAAGCTGATAAGCTGTTATCACGTCCTGCCACCCACCAACTGATAAACTTCAGCACCGGTGCCCAAGGAACAATGGTTAGAGGCTTCGTGAGTCAAGTATTCTATCCCTTAGCGATATGGTTACGACCGCTAAGCTCTCGAGTTTCGACGAAAATTAAAAGCCCTGGAAGCTGCTCAACGGAAGTACTAGGATGTGAGAAATGTGAGGATATATCACCATATATGTCGATGTTATTACCATCAAAAGTCTTTCAACCGCTAAGCCATGTCCTAATGATTCCAACGGGATGGTGAGTGTTTCTAGAATGTGATAAGCCACCAGACAGACGCAGCACCAGAAACGATAGCAAATAAATTCAGTTAAATAGGAGAATTCATAATTGAAATCAGGCCGTATTCCACAAAAAAATTGTAAGTCGCGGCAAAACGTGGTTCGGCGCGTCAATACAGAATCCTGTCAGCGCAGTACCATTACCATAGGTTTCAACCACACGCGCAGTAGTGCGCGTCAGCCAAGCTTGTAAGGAATTATACGAGCACTACTGAACCTTGGAATCAAGCAAGGCCGTTAGAAACGCTTCTGATTGACGGATTTTGTGACAAATATCACTTCATCCAAAGGATTCTAATGTTTGTAGTTTCCCAGTGGAATAGTTAAGCCATTCTGGTCTGCTCACTGTTTAAGAGCTCGCTTTACCATATCGGCCGCGTATTCCATGGCATATAGCGGCGGAGCAGATCTGTTGACCGGGAGGAAATCGTGAGGCTCATTCTAGGGGGTGATGGCTCTTTTAGATGTGGTGCTTTTGAGAAACGAAAGATGGCATTTTGATGCAATGTCTCTACTGTTGCGTTTTCTACCTACTCACGATTTGAATCTTCCCCGTCTCAGCCTGAAATATTTCACATGGGTTAACGGACGCCTTAGTGTTTTATGTGTCTTTCAGGCGAGATCACCTTCTCCCAAACACAATCTCTTGCAGAACTAAAAACGCCATCAGAACCTCCAATATCCCCTCTTTCCAACGAGCTTCTGCTGAACAAGAATAAAAATCAAATACAGTTTTTTCTAAAGGCCCGCTAGTCTGGAAGATAATTTAGATGGGTCACCATTGGTACATTCTAGCCACTCAAAAACTCCCCTCATTCCGTGCAATTGTAAGGATACTAACCCAATCGAATACGACCCCGTGTTGGGAAATTCCCAACTATGATGTGACCTGGAGTCGAAGGGGGCAGATATATCTGGTGCACTCGAAACGAGAAAAACGGAAAACGTTTTTCTAAGAAGCCGGTACGACCCACTAGCGGGAGGATCCCCAACTCACGACGTGCAATCAATCCACGCGCCTCCTCCTCCATGCTGCGTTCATACTTTGCGGCAGCGTCCACCAGCGTTTCGAGCGTCCGGCAGCGTCAGCGACTAGGAAAGTATAGATATCGATCTAGCGTCTGCCAGCGTCTACCAGCGACTAGCAGCGTCTGGGAGTGAAGAGTATGGCGTTATAGGATAGGAGGGAGGGTAGACTGCTGGTGCAGACAGCTAGTACCCTCCTATCGCTCCATACTCTCTACCAACAGTCTATTGGTTCGTTGCCACACTTATTAACGGAAACTTCTTCTCGTAGAAGCACGACAACTTTCAGAAAAGCTCTAAAGGAGAAAGCTCACAGTAGGAAATATTCACAAATAGAATGACACTTACCGTTGAAGACCGGAAGAATACTCCTCGTTCTGTCTGTCGGTTCGAAAGTACAACACCACAACCTTGACAGAAGATATTCTAGAAAACAAAACTTCGTCAGAAAGTTACATTTTAATTTGCTTAGGGCAAACATGGCATGAAACTAACTCACACATTTGTCTTTTTATCAATTTTTACGCCACCGAAGTGCTCTCCAACGTAGTATTCATCATTGTAAAGATGCATTGTCGGAAATGTGAGACGAAAATTCGGGTGAAGACGTGAAGAAGCATTCCGATAGATCAAGTTGAAAAGTGGCACTACCTGAACAATAAACATGTAATCCTGAGCAGAAGCTTATGTCGTCTTAAGATGGACAACAGAGGTAAGTCAGTGCTGAACCGCTGAAGTGCTTGTCATGCTCTCTTGCTGAGGACCTGCCACAATTGCGAGACTGCACGCTACTAATGATTGCGTGGCGGAAATGGTGTAGTAGTAAGCGGCACAACTACGACGCGTTCAGTAAATGGATAAAAAAGGATAAAGTCTTCGCCGTTGATCAATCCCTTTGTGGGATGCGGCACGCATTCTACTTCCATTCAGAATCGTAGTGGCTTATTGAATGCGATGTGGCCTATACAATGACTTGCGGCCAGCCGATGTACAAGTCAGTGTTTTATCCTCCCAGACGAATCTGGTACCAATTTACCGTCCCGGAGGGTAGAAGGCTTGGTTGGCCTGGGCGGGAGTCGACCCGGGATTTGAACCCAGGACCGCGCGAGTGGTGAGCGCACCACTTGTCACTTCATCACCTCCTGCCCCTTCGTTCAGTACGGGGGTCAAATCCCAGATCGGCTCCCGATGACACCTAGTGAACCGTTCCTTCCCAAGAGTATTACAAATTTGGTCAAGCTCAAGCCTGGTCATACCCTGGGCACTTCACCAACTAGCCCCATTAGGTTCACTTGTGCATTTATTGTGCATTCCTTAAAGGGTAAGAAGGTTTGATAGGTCTCTTCACATACATGGATGGAGATGATAGCAGCCTGGTCCCCATGATCAGCTGACCCTTTACGGTAGCCTATTCCATAGAATGTGACAGTTGGGCACTGTTAATCCCTCTAACTAGGGACGTAGAGTGCCTAATCCAATCTGACGCATTTCTGCGCAAGTAGGTGAGTTCGCGCTTATACCCTGTGACACTTTTAAACAGTAGCGAATCGAGTGGTTATCGAAGGAGTAGCACACCGGTGCCACATCGGTACTGATGAGCACATTTGTCGCGGTCGAGTCTTTAGCCTAGTTCGGAAAACCATTGAACAGTACGCCGCTATTTCAAGCGCGGAAAGTCGCAGATGCGACCTGCTACCAAAGCATGCGCATTTAACATCCCTAAGGCGACAGCGTCTACAATCGACTGGCGGACTCGCTAGACATACTTACTGCAACAGTGCGAGCCTTCGCCGCCGATCAGTATCAGCACGCTGCTACCGGTGTCGCTGGAGTACGGGTGGGGGGGGCGGATGCCTCGAACTGAGACATTTATAGTTGATCTTTTCTGATCGCCTATTCTATGTCACTCGTCGTTTTGTGGGAGAACGAGGGGCGCATTGCAGGTTGGTGGCGGGAGAAGCATTTGTACCTATTGGTTGACTTTCAGTAGCTTTTTCCGCCTTCAGTATTGCTATACCATACTCGCTTAGCCGCTCGACAGGGCACGAGGGGCGTTCTTACAGACTCGACTAGAATCCCAAGCAAGTAATATGCCCTGCTCGACAGAACGCGCAACGTTTCATTGCCATGGAACTGGAGAGAGGCGGCAGGGAAGTTCGGAAGTTGGGAAAAAACTACCTGAGCAGTGGGAAAGAATGCGGAAAAGGAGACGTGCGTACAAGGCAAGAGCGCATCGGGAGGCAGGGTTCTAGCTGCCCAAAAGTATCCCAGGACAAAGGCGGGCCCTGAACACAACGTGTCAGTTTTATCACTGCAAGTGCTGGCTTCGTTGCGCGCACCCCTTGGTCATCCCGTCGAGGTTGAATTAGAGGATGGATTTGACGATTGCGTACGCGAAAACATTCCGCATTCCACGAATGAAAAAACACTTGCAGCGTTTTCACGGGAAAAGATGCAATGCTGACAAAGACAGATCAGTTGGCGCCAATTAATATCCAACCAATAGCCTGAGTTTCCCACAAAACATGGAACTTATAAGCGTTCGTTTGACACTGCTAACAAGGGCCACGATCAAGGTGCGGGATTTTGGATCAGCGTCCATGCCAAAACCCACTTTTTAGCGGTTGGCTCGACCACCCCCTGTTCTCTTGCTCACCGAGATGTCGAGCGAGGGGGAGCAAACAGCACGCGTGAAACGGGAAAACGCAAGGAAAAATATGACACCCTCTTCCAGCGACCAAATACGGCCCTCCGGCGCTGTTTGGCGACGGGGGGCATTTTGTACTATAATTGCGTCCTTAGCCGGTTTACAAGTCTCGCTCTAGCGAAACCTGTGAACTCTTGTGAAGCTGGAGCAAGGTCATGAAGCCATCATGTTAAAACCTGTCAACTCGAGAAGAGGCTGTCTAGATAGGTCGACACGTCGATGGGAAGTAGCAAAAGTGCAAAATGCCCCCCCCCCCCCCCCGTCGCCAAACTGCGCCCGACCCTTCCCCTGTTGGGGAACCCCAACAACGATGTGCCCTGACTGTAACCCCTTGTATTTGCTGAAATACAAAAACGTAGTGGTGCTGGCGCGGACGTCTATTCTATAATTGAGTTTCTTGAGTTTCTTTTTTTCCATCGAAACAGCTAACGGTGTTCTCGAATACAGAAAGTTCAAACTCACAAGCAACAAGAGAATTGAATAAATTCTTACTTGATTTTCAGAACAGCTACTACCGGAGCAAAGATCTGAAAAGGTGCATCTACCTTTCAAACCGACGGAACACTCCACCGAGAGATTGTACTGAAATTTCTCACATTACATCAATAAATTTCATTTTATTTTTCGTTTTATTTCTACTAGGATAGTCCACACATTTCGTAACACTTCGGCTGTTCAAAATATTACTTTCTTTGATGTTTATAGAGTTTATTCACCCGACATTCCTTCTTGCTGTAACCTATACTCGAAATCCCTGAGATCGGGTAGGCGTGGCCGCATGCTTCAACCTGAAGGTGTCTATGCTTCTGGTGAGATATTTTCATCTTGACACAATTGTTGTCGTGTCTCTGTCCAACACAGAACAAGATGGCAGTTGTTCCAGACTGGATTATTCCACGAGTAACCAATTCCGTGCCATGTTCAAATGCCACGCCCACTCTGGCTCAGGGATAAGGAGTGAAC